GTTCGGCAATTAATCAATCAAAAAGAGTCGTGAGGGTAACATCAAAGGCAAATAAACTAGCTTTGACTTTATAAAACATCCGAAAGAATAATCTTAAAACATTTTAAGCAATTTTGTTTCAAATGGTTTGTATACATTATAGAAATGGACACACATCCTATCTACACAAAATGTAACAACAAGTAAGGATAAATTACTCATTTGATAGTTAACAGCAACTAATTTTGAAACGCATCCTGTCTCGTCAACAGATCTATCGATGCAGTAATATGAGGCACAGATTGGACACCCTGCCATTACGTACTTAATGACAAGTCAAATTAATTACCTTGTTAGTTAATAAGAAGTTAAGCAAACAATTTATAAATTAAAATTCATAATAATCTAGAACATTATTAACCATGCCCTTCTTATTGGTCGCGAAAGTCGAGGTGGCTCGGAGGTTTAAGTCAACTCTCATACACGAGATGTTCAAAATCTAACTAATGTCAAGTACCATGTGATATTTTACTAGTTATTCGTGCACTTTTTAAAATAATTTAGATACCACTGACAAACGGTAAAAGAAAACATCTAGCGGAAATCAGGGTTTATAGAGGTAATAGTAATTTCTGATTATAAGTTTGAAATCGCCAACCCGCATTGAGCAAGCATCATGATTAATGCTTAAGCCTTCTTCATGCGAGGCGAGGCCTTTGGTCAGCAGTGGCCACTAATAGGCTGTAGATGTGTGACGTGAACTTAATCGTACCTCCGGTGCTATAACGTCACTTATGTATCGCGGGGGCCCGCGCACAACTGAACAATGAAACGTTGTTTCTCCCCGTGCCGTCCAGATTAGCGCTAAAACCGTAACGACAGCAATGCCCTCATGAGGACAGTTTGCGTACTACACAAATTACAATGACGCACCAAGTAAAGAGGTGAATTTGGAGTATTCTTTCATAATCAGTTAAGTTTTGACAAAAATTGCATAAGTGACGATATTGCACCGAAAGTGCGTTATGTAAAAGGGCACACAAATTTCTTTTATGCGACAAAACAACGTTTAATAAATAATTCAATGATAAATCTCAGATTAGATAGTTAACTGCAATTCGTTTTGTAACACATCCTGTCTTGTCAACATATCTATCGACACAGGTAATATGAGGCACAATTTGGCATCCCTGCTATCAGTTAGTTAACAAGAAGATTGATGGTAACAACGCCGGGACAGTTTGCCAGCTAAACTTACTGCAACGAACTAATTTATATGTACTCTTGTCAATAATTCGGTATGACAATGCCGAATGGGAACTTTGCATGTTTAGTTATTGTATCGTTCGTTGGCCGAGTGGTTGCAAGTGCGACTGCCGGGCAAGGGATTTCGGGTTCGATTCCCGGATCGGGCAAACTAATACTGGTTTTTTTTAATCCTCAATAGTAGCACGGAGTCTGGAATTGTGCCCGATATAACATAAATAGTGAAAAGTGGGTGTTACATTGTACAGTGGCATAATGTGCACTTCTGCTTACCCCTTCGGGGATAAAAGGCATGATGTTATGTATGTTACTGTATTATTTTGTAATTGACAGAATTAGGGAACGTTTTCCTTTTAACATTCATTTTACATATCAATGTCATACAAATCAATACTACATTATTATGGCTAATCAATATTGATTAGGATCGTGGGTCGTGGACGGTGAATGAATCCAATTTGGTCTTTCAAATAGAAGTTGAAAATCTTAAGACGCTTGTTATTTATTCTATTTATTTATTTAAGTTGTATAAAATTACATTTGGAGGACTTAATGCTTATTTTTTTATAATAACATTCTTTGCCAATGTTATTATGGATGGTCTATATTATAGATCGCTTTTGGATTAATTTTACCATGTATTACGTACGTTTTAAAATAATCTTAAAACGTAGATAATAAATTAACAAAACAAACACATTATTTGTTTTATAAGATTTTCTTAAGCGCAAGAAAATATAGAAGAAAATTTTAGCATAAATTTTAAAATAGTACTAGACTAGTTGTTCAGCACTCAACATTGCTAATCCCTCTTCAGAACAGACTGAAAACTATTACAACTAGCCTGGACGTGGTGAAGTTCTGCTCAAGAACTCGAGCACTTTACTTTAACCCTGATAGCTTCACCTGTATTAAGAAAATGCTTGAAAATTTCTCGTAAAATTTATTAAGAATTTGTTTTAAATAGTAACTTGTAAACTGTATTTAGAGGTAGTTTAATTTAACTTCCACATAACATCACGCAAGTTAACTGCGAAGTACCTAACTAGTACCTAGTTACTTTACTCTCCACGAGGCAGTTAATCGTTCATGAAATGATGGAACAAATTACTACCTTTTTAAGTATTTATTTGGGCAAGTACTTTGTCAAAAGGTACGGATGGTAATTAAATCCACCCGGCTGCCAGATCGATCAATTATTCCGTCATTTATGAATGAATTGATGAGCCCATCCACAATAATGATGCAGTGTCTCGGTGATCGTCCACGGCTCACTAAAATTGACGATCGATATTCTATGACAGAGTGCTACTGACGCTACATAGACATTTGTCATGTAAATTGATACATTTGGTTTAGAAACTGAGGTGGTTTGGTTTAGAAACTTTGATTCATAAAGTTCTAAAACGATGAATTATTATAGATTAGAAATTATTTATGTAAACCCAAACTCAAACTCAAAAGCATTTATTTCAATTAAACCATAATTTGGTACTTTTGAAACGTCAACAAATATGAAATAAATAATAGTCTGTCAGTCTGTCCGTCAGTGAAGCTAGGCGCTCGTTCCAAAATGTCGATTCGAGTGGAGAAGAACGAGCAAGAAACTCCATTCGCTACTCTTTAAAAAAAAAGTCTGTTTTACACTGTTCTATGTAATACAACATAATAAATTTTTATCACCAGTCTGTTGTTCTCTAAGTTGCATGTAGACATCTTAGAGGTCTACTTACTTGTACCTATTTTTATCAGGTATATATTTTAGTCTTATTTGATGAGGGCAAGGCTTTTGTCAACTATATGACTATTCTTTTACTTAAAAACATTAGCACCTTGTTTAAGACCTCTCGAATCTAAAAGTAATCATAATACATTTTTATGTAACATAAACTTAAGATCCTTTTTTCCCGCAAGGGGGAGGGAAAGGTGCACATTACGGCACTTAATACCATTGTACACTTTTCACTATTCATGTTATGAGTCCCATGTAATATTTGTAATATTTGATGTAACATTTTTGCATGTAGTTAATATAATACGTTTTTGGACTGCAGTATGTTATTAACACATTTTCGTATTCAGAGAGAGAATGCGTTTTTAGAACTATTGCAATTAGCCATTGTTACGCCTAGAGTTTAGAGTTTTCATAAATACGATGCTGTGAATTCAAAGGCTGTTTATTACAACTTAGTTGCAGTATGAAATAGTGCGAATTTGAATGCTGTCACATACTCATGTTGCATGGTATGGGGGAAATATAAGCCGGATGAAATGAACATTCCACATGAAATTTGAGTGAGTATCTCAGTGGGGTAAGTGGAGTAACTAAATATGACAAATCGAGTAGGTAATTAAAAATTGCATAAGTGTCGATGTCACAAATGGAGCATTCTATTAATATACATCGAGTACCCAATCGATGTCTGAGCTCCCTTGGTCATTGTAACATTTAATTATCATCAATTTGGCTGATTGCCTACTTTACCTGCTAGGTAGCCCAACATTTGGCTCACGCCCAAGCGATTACATTCACTGAACTGTCAAAGATAAGTTATTTTAGATATCTCGACATTGAAATTTTGCTGTGCGCCCACTGAGTATGTGTCACGCGATTGTGACATTGAACGTCTTGTATTAAGAGCCATATTACTAGCTTCACGCATCGTGACAGCGTACTGACACAGATACTTAATTGCCGCTCAATGTTTCAAACAAATCATTTACTATTGATGTTATTAGTCATCTCGAATGTACGACTATGACAGTTTTCACTAACAAATTGTGTATTGACATTATTATGGTAGTTGCCAATTTGCCAGTGCGATCGCTTTAATATGAAAATCGTACACTTCTAATTAATATTTTGAACCTGTAATAGCCCATAAATAATTTTAATAATTATTCACTCGTAAATCACTTTTATTAAGAAATCAGCGCACAGATTTATTATTCTAAGCGAAGTTAACGAGAGCCATTTATCTGGATATTAATCTAATATACCTTATTAGTCGTTGTCGGGGATCGATTGGCCGGATATTATTCTATGATATAATATTGTCCAGGAAATAGAAGCAGAATAGGTTTTATTATACTTATTTATAGCAGTATGGTCTTGTAATGTGGTATTAATTAAGATGGACTATGTAACGCGATCTGAAGGAGACAGTTTAAAAGCTTTTCAATGATGCTGTTTCTATAAATTCTTTGATCGTTTTTTTCCTCGGTGAGTGCAGTCAGCAGGTGGCTGTTATGTTTGTTGTTTTTTGTGAAATATGAGGTGGAGTGAATGTCGGACCGTGTGCATCGGTATATTTGGAGAGTACACTAATTGAAATCTATGTAATACGTAATGCTCATGTTCCAGATAGAACACATGTACTTGTATCAACACCGCACTAAATCATCGCTTGGAAGATATTTATGTTTCAATTCCCGTGTCCAGGTGTTATCTTTGAACTGTATACTAGTGTATTTACACTTTGCATAACATCTTCACCGACACGGTACTTATTCAAGAACATCTTACGGGGCAAATATAAAATGAGCATTAACTGTGGAAGTGGAACTATTTATTTTAAAGCCTTTATTGGTGTTAAGTGAAAAGGCTTTATGTAAATATCGCAAAGCTCGTTAATTAATTTCGCAATGCATCCAATATATTTGTTCTTTAAAATTATCTAGACAATATTTCAGATATAAATCAGATTAGTATGGCCCTGGGGAGTACAGTACACGCAAGCAAATGAAACCAAGTATGTAGTTTAACTTAAAGTTTTATTGTCTTACACAAATAAGACAGATATTAAAATAGGAATGCGGACGGCTTCCGATCAGAGTTACTTTATGTTTGTACGGTGGCGGCGACGGCCGCTGATGCTGCATCACACCAGCGAGATCCTGTAACATCGACACAAAGGTCACGCCGGCACTCCGGAGTGGGTCCGCGTAAGCGAGGTCAAGCGAGGGTGTTAGAGCGAAGCTAGATGGAGACGGTGTTAAATCCGAGTCTGGAATACTTCCTCGAGATGAGGGACTTGCTATGGTAGCGCTGGAACCTGGCGCCCGTCGATATGTGGCGTAGGAGAGCAGAGTCTTTGGAACTCTTGTGGCTATAGCTAGAGCCTTTGGAAAGGTAGGTCCTGAGCACACGCTCGCCCCAGGTTTGCGCGCGCGGTCGTTCCACCGGCAGGCCCTTGTTCCGCCGGTCCAGGTAGTTGATCACGTCGTTGTAGTAGTTGTGCTGGTAGTCGTACAGGTAGTTGTATTGGAGGAATCTGGGCCTGGAACGTGACGCCACCGTTTAGCCAATGAACCACTCTAAATATATTCTTAACTGCCAATTAAAAGAAATGTTTTATCGATGAAACTGTATTAATATTTAAGTAAATACCACAGACTTTTAATTTCGTTAATAGTGTTTGAATATGAAAAACCTGGTAATAAAGTTTGTTGTTTATTATTGTAGCGATCCACGTTTATTGTTTGAGTTTAATTTATAACGAGTTTAATTTGAATGAAATGTTTATTTGGTTACCTGATCCAGTGCTTAAATACTAGTTTCTTGGGTTCGGTGCCCATGACGGTGTTCTCGGGCGCAGGGGGCTCAGCCTCCTCGGGCTTGGCAGCCGCAGCAGGCTCGGCGGCGGCGGCGGCCTCCTCCGGCGCAGGCGGAGCCGGCGCAGGGGTCTCTTCTTCTACGTCTGCGTCGTCCCACATCTCGCAAAGGGGTACTCTGCGATCAAAAACCACAACGTTATTGCTGGCACTTGGTAAAGCAACTTCACTAGTTTCACGACCGGACACGGCACTAGATCACGGACCTAACTGGGTTTGGAGAAACGTGTGGTGCGGATGCTCGTTCGTCTACGACTGTCAGCTCCGTCCCCCGGTGGCGTACGCAGCCTCCCGATTTATCTCCCTTTGACCCCACCTGGCTGTCGCAAGCGCTATGTTTGTACGACTCGCTGCCAATGATGTTCTGTCAATACGCTGACCGTGCATTGTATTGACAAATTCCTAGTCGTTTTTAATTAGTGTGCCAAATGACGCATTGTCTCTTTTGAAGTAGGAACATTGTTGTGAAAAATTAAACGTAACATTTAATTTTGTGTTATGAACATTGCGTTCCGCGAGGAAACCGTAACAGATGCATAAATTCGTTTAATGATGTATTCTGTAATAATAAATCAACTCACTATTACAAATTGGTTTAATAAGAGTGCAATCGCTATAATGGTGATCTACACACGAATGTATTAATCGTACCGAGGTCATTAGTTACGGGTGTCAGATGAAAAGACAAAGCAAAGATATAAATTTACGTTAGAACTTATTTGAGTTGGGTGGAAATGAGCCAGACTGTCACTAACTCTAGCACAAATGTGGTCACATCTGTTGTCCGACTCCGGAAGATACATTGATTTATTTACGTCAATTTGCAAATATTATTTGATATTGTTTCATGTAAACTTATGCATTAACTGTTAAAAAATTCATAGAGACTTGTTTGTGTAATTTCCTTACATTCTTAACCTACTTACATCTGAATAAAGGATTTTTTTAAATCAAATGAAGTCTTATTCCCTAAAATTAATTAGGCATTCGTTTGAAAATGTTCAAAGCAACGATATAAATCGTCCCGGATGCAGTGTCTCCTGATAATTACGCAGACGTTCCGCGTGTTTTAAAGTAATTAATGACGATTAATTAGTGATTACCACACATGTTACACTCACGCCGGTATCAGTGACTGCAGCTGATACCGAGCGTGTTCAAATCAATCTATTACGTCTTGGTCGAAGACAACAGGATTAAAATAAATGATCACATTGATCAGAAATATTTGGTTGCATTAAAATGGTATATCTAGGAAATTGGTATTTTTACAGTGTATTTTTTAATGTGGGCTGGTTAATGGAAAGGCAGATGGATGGTGTGGATGGTTGGCTCATTGGTGTATCAGGAACGATGCTCGCTTGGAACTTTTTGCAGCGTGTCGCAAATTATTGTTTTGGGTCTGTTATGTGTACGAAATGATGTGTCTGTGAATGTGCCTATCACACAAGATACAGTTCTAGATAGAATAATAAAGAAATTATGAGCGAAGGGAGGTTGCGAAACAAATATTTTTTTTTTAAGAATGAAAGAGCAGTATTGCTGTAACCTTTAGTTACCCTAAAATGAATACTGTTAGATTTTATTTATCGGTTTGTATTTAAAGTTATTAGTTCGTATTCTATTTTGTGAAGGTGAAATAGAAACTTTTTAAATGATCTATACATTTTTAACTAATTCTTCCAATGTCTTCACATTTATAATATTCTATAAGAAACGACTACCTCGTTGGCCGAGTGGTCGCAAGTGCGACTGCTGGGCGAGGGGTCTCGGGTTCGATTCCCGGGTGCGGGCAATAGGCTCACCCCTATTACATGGGACTTATAACATAGATAGTGAAAGTGGGTGTTGCATTGTAAAGTACCGTAATGTGAACCTCTGTCTACCCCTTCGGATATAAAAGGTGATGTTATATATATAAAAAACTGCATTTGATACTTACTCCGGTTTTGTCTACTCGTTCTATATTTAGTAGTCACCTGATATATATTGACATTGGTATGTAACATATTAAGACCAGGTAGACAAACGCGTGCTATGTGGTAGTTAATAAATAAAGAACAACATATATTATATGATTGATTTTGACATGTGATTCTGAGTCATACTAGATGTCGAAGAGGAAGCTTGCATACATTTAAACTTTGTCTCAAACTAGAATTTACATTGTATATTTATTTAGTCTCCATATTTCCCTGTAATCTGCCAAATTAGACATTTAGCCGGTGATTAACAAATGCATGTATTGTGAGATGTACGGCATATGCTGGTGGTGTACCGCTTTTTTTTATGACATAAGCCGGTAAACGAGCAGTTGGATCACCTGATGGTAAGCAATCGGCGTCCCCCATGGACACCTGGAACTCCAGAGGTGTTACAAGTGCGTCACCGGCTTTTTGGGGATTAGGAGTTTGAGGATCGTTGGGGATTCAGGGATTGGGGAGTTTGGGGAAGGGAAGGTAATTGGGCCTCCGGTAACCTCAATCGCACGACGAAACACAACGCAAGCCTTGATTCACGTCGGTTTTCTGTGAGGCCGTGGTATCACTCCGGTCGAGCCGGCCCATACATGGCTCTCCCACACTTAATTATTTTATATACTTTTCAAATATTGCTTCCTTCGAATTGAATGTTGCTGCTACGACGGGAGAAGATCCCTTGGAACTCAACTTTTGATGCGCTTTAAGATGCTGGTCGACTTCATAAGCTCGTTGGAGTGACTCCTTATGTGACGCAAATATGACTTCAGTTTATTTGTAACTTCCTCTTTTACTGATCTTGTTTTTAAGTCTCGGTGTAATTGGGTTTTTTTAAGGGTGGAAAATCATCGAATGACTCCTCCCGCCTGGGTGAGGCGGGAGGGAGTGTCAGACTCTTGCTGACTAAAAACCACTCCGTTACTTCTTCGAGCCGGAGCCCCAATAACCCGTTAGGTTCTCCGCGACTCCGAATCGGCATCGGCCCTGTTGGGCCCCATCTGTGGTGGTCTGACGGCTCTTTGAGGCGCGCGTGGAACGCGACGCGCCGTACGTTCGGGTCTGTTTCTGGTCGCACGGGGGGCCACCCATGCTTCATCCATGTGTAATTGGGTATTAGTTATATAACATGGGTCACTTGCTATCACTCGATGCATTTTTGATTGGAAGTGTTGTATAATGTCCAAGTTTAAGTTCAGTGCCGTTTTCCATAGTTTTGATCCATATGATCATATTAATTTTAATATGGCTTTATAGAAGAGAATTTTGTTGCTAAGTGACAGGTTTGATTTTCATGCCATGAGCTCATGAAGATGGTAAAGTTGGGCACTTAAGGTTTTTTTTGGTATGTACCTAACAATTATGTATGTCAACTTGTATGTTTGTAAACGTACCCACGATACAGGAGAAAGTGCTAAGTTAGATAACGTTTTATTTAAAAAAAAGGAAATTGTGTTTCATTTAAAAATTGTTCCGTACGGGAATCGAAACTGCGAAATTAGCATTGCCGTTGCGCAGCCGCCGCCAACCGCGCACTTACTTTTAAAACTCATCTACGTTAGTTTCTGATTTTTCTACGTGGACCTTTATCTTTGGGTCTAATACTTACACTTATGTCAAGTTATTGCTGAATTATCTTTTGATCGTATCTTCGAAAATCGTTTATCAAACGTATTAATAACAATAATATTAGTCCGATCTTGGTCTTGATCTATTCCACTAATAGATCAAGACCAAGATCAGATCATGTGTTATGTCCTAAAATGGTGACCAAACCAGTTACCGAAAGACGTTGACCTAACTAAAATCCCCGAGGCATTTACGAAAATGGGGATTAAAGACACCCATCTAAACAGGAAGACCTCGATCTTTATACAGCAATGGACGTGCTCGGACTACTGCTGATGATGCTGTACAAGAACAACATTATCTCATTATTACACATATTCCATCGGCGATACAAAGTGTTACATTTGGTTTACACCGAGTTCTATTGCATGTGGTGGCACATGGCATCGTGATGGAGAAACAATAAACTATTGGCAATAGAAATTGATAGCAAAAACTAAAATGGTTGTATGTGGCTAACCTAAAAAGAGATCACATTGCTTTTATTTGTTTACAAAATCAATTATACAAGCATATAGCAGGTATATATCTCACGTGATATTATTGATAAATATATTCTAATCAGGTATTGATCATAGGTAATTAGAGGTAGCTATTACAAATTGATATTTAAAACGATCTAAATCGAGCGATGAGATATATAATGGTGCTTTTGTTGTAGCAACGTGTTGTATCAATCGACAAGGGATGCTAATTTTGGTGATGAAGATTTTCCTGTACCTATATTTAAACTTTGTGGAAAACATTTGTTGCACAATAAAATAAAACAACTATATACATACTTAATAGTTATAATTTATGTTACTGCAGGCTATAACAATCTCGATGTAAAAAATACAAATGATTTGAATATTTTTTTTGCGTAATAATCAACCTCTACAATGTAGTTCTAATTAAGATCATCTTTGGTCAGGTGAAAGAAATAATATTCATACATACTTATACTAGTAAATGGCATTTATAAAATTAGTAGGAAGGATAGGAGAATGTATTTGTTGGTTGTAAAAAGCAACTTACTTTATATTCATCCTCTAATAACATCATGTTGTAGGTACTTGGCAAATAGTTATTGAAAAGCGTCCAATTAAGTTCAATCCTAATACATCGTTTTTTATATGGCAATACGCTTCATTCTTCTAAACAGGGCGCATCAATTCCTTGCCGGAATCTGTGTTTCCCGTCAAACATGACTTGGGTGTCTTCAAGTCCCGAGTGAATAGGTTGCTCATAGGTATGCGTGCTCCATCGTCGGCCATATAATCGCTTACCACCAGGCGAGATTTTGGTCGAACGTAGACCTATTTAGTAAAAAAAAATCATCAACCAACTCACACTGCATCACTCATTACACAAGAGTTCACAAATCAGTTCGAACGGGGGTACTGCAGCTTTACCTACATCAAAACACATAAGTATCTTTAAAAATAAACATAGATAAATAAGTAAAACAACTTGTCTTTAACATTAAATGCTTTCAACATGAGCATGTATTTGTTTTTTAATTTCCGTAATGGCCGCTCGTATGGTTCTTTGTCTTGTACTTGTGCGGAGCTCTCAACAGAGGCTTGCAGCTTCCTGTGTGGGCTAAGCCTAAGTTTGTTGCAGGACATTTTATATATTATATTCTTTGTTTCGTGTACTCCCGGATTTATATTTTCTTTGTGACTTTTGTACACTTTGTGTCATCGTTTCCAATGTTTTGATGTTGTTTTCCTTTCTGAT